CTCCTGCCCGATTATTGTCATCATTATTATTTTTCTGCAAAGGGCGTTCCCGGCTACCAGACCGCGACGCTTCCTCAGGCTTCGATGCCTGCCTGTGCGCATTCCCCGGCGCCCAATTGGGCGGTGCGCCCTGCGGGAATGGTGGTGGCGGCAGCCGCCGCGGGCTGCGTGCCCACCATATGCGTCACATGCGGCCTCTTAGTGAGGAAATGGACGACGCACGTTCAAAGCGTCAGCAAGCTTTTACGAGCCGGCTGCCAGCAGCGGACCGTATCCTCTAGCGACCGAGGCAGGCACGCGCGCGCCCCCTCCCCAGCCAGGGATCGCGGTCGGCGGTCGGGCAAGGCTGCAGCGCCACCAAATAAGGTCCCCATTCTCGTATCTCACCCTCAACCATCATCACCAACCGCCGCGCCGGAGCACCGTCCACGCTCTCGTCTGCTGCGTCGCTTGTCCCACACGCGGAGAGACGACTCTGTGTGCTCGGCTACGAAAGCAACCCAATCGTACCCGCAACCCAACACGTCATCTCTGTGACTCTCACCCTCCCTCTGCCCTCCCCGCGGCGCGTGCGGCGCGTGAGCATGTGTGCATTGTTGGGGGCGAAGAACCTCGTGTTACGCCGTAACGTTCTTTCCCCTCTCTAGTCACACCTCCCATATTCCTTCCGTGGGTGGGGGTGCGCAGGTGCTACAATGCCTTTGCATAATCATCATCATCACCATCGTCTTCGTCACCAGCGGTTTCAATTTTACCCGAGCATTTCCACCCCACCCAAACGAAACCCCCACCAGGGGTTTCATGTTTAGTTTTGTCGTTTGCGCTGTGCGCACCTGCAAGCCTCTTGCGCAACGGCCGCCTTCTACTACCAACATCAAGAGAGAGAAAGAGAGAGAGAGAGGAGCCTTACCTTTACGATGGGCCCTGCTTGCCCTCCCCCCGGCCAGCAGGGGTAACCCGCTTTCCCAGTTCTGAAACCGCAGCGGCAGCAAGCAGCCCAAAAAAAGAAATAACCTAAATTCCCCGGCGTGACGCAGGCCAAACGGCCTCGTTTGAAGCCACAAGGGGTCCAAGGCCCAAAAAGGTTAAAGGTTAAAAAATAAAATCAAAAACAAACACGCGAAAGAGATTTGCCGCCAGACGGCCGTCTACACAAAGGACCGGTTGGCGCGCGTGGAGAGCATAGAGCTCCTTCATCCGTACAGCTTCCGTACCATCCTCCTCATATGATAGCGAGAGGTGGGATCGGATATCAAATTCCTTTGGCGGAATCTGAGTCGGGGTATTGGTGACGCTGATTCAAGGTTTGCCGGCGTGACCTCCCCAACGTTTACAAGAGTCGCTAGAAGCAGTCCTTGATTCAGGATGGACCGCCGTAGGGACAGGGGAATCGGTGAGGCGTAGGATGGCCTGCATGGGCATAAGAGAAAGGAAAAAGCGAAGAATGCCGTGTGTAACGCCAACCATTATGCAAAAAGCACCTTGCAGCTGTGCCTCGCAGGCCGCCTTGCGGGCCAAGGGGGATGGAAACCGATATGAAAGGGCGCGATGTCAACCAAAAAGGCAAAAGCTCAAATCCACACGCCAATGCGCTGCTGGAAGGGAGGCTGCGCGGCTCCCCGGACGCATGCGGATCCGAATTTGGCACAGTAAGGGAGGGATTATGGGCGTTTGACGCGTGTGTCCATATGCGCATATGTGGTATCGCGGAGTTGGAACTGGGATAAGGGGAATGAAACACGGGGAAAACGGGAGCAACGAGGAGAGAGAGGGAGGGCTGACAGGCATAAAGGCTATCCTTTTTTTTTGTGGCGGCCGGTGTGGTGAGACAAAGGAATGGAACCTGCGCAACGACTGACCGGGAACGGAGCGGGCCCCAAATCGCCCGCGGCGACCTGCTGCGGGCCGGGACGATTCGTGAGGTTCGAGATTCCACGTGGGAAAAGGGCGGCGGCGGGAGGACAACGGCTAAATCCTGGTTCTTGTTACCGCATGCCCCCGTACTCGGTAGCACGAAAAGGCGGGAGGACGCGGAGGAGGGAGGG